ATTGTAAGATTTAATGAGGTCAGAGGTCAACAGCAGCTTGGAGGAATGACCTTCTCACCTCAAAGTCAGCCTGTGGTTGAGCCAACGACAACTCAAAACTCTTAATGTTCTCTTTCAGTGAAGTTTAAACCATGACGCCTCTTCTTCTGCCTCACGCTCTTTGTTTCCCTTCAAACACCACGCAGCAGTGTTTTTGTTTCACACGTTCACAGTTACGACTTTCAGCTCCGCTGGAGCACAAACCAAATGCTTCTCTTCTGTGGAAACAAGGTTTTCAGACCACTGAAAAGTTCTGTTAGAACCATTAAGTTTTACATCTGGGCCACAGTGGGATCTTTACAGTGTTAACAGTGTTAACACAGTGATAACTTTTTATACAGTTGTTTTGGAGTCTGAGTGCAGCTTTCAGATACTGTGTGTTAGTTTTTAGGTTTTATTCTTTGAAGGTGATTGTTTCTCCTCACTAGAGCAATCGAATCATTTGGAAATCTAGGGTAGCGGTGCACAACTGCTCTTCTTCTGAATAAATGAAAACTATGTAACACAGGTGTTTACACTTAAATTAAAAATATTTGACCAAAGAAAAACCAGAGCGGGACTACAGAGAGAGATAAATATGATTTAGATTTTAATTTCTGTGATTGTAACGACCCACAGGAGATACGACATTAACAGCAGTCGTTATTTCATTCCTTGGCTTTAAAGCAGATCCTTTAATTCCAAGCTGATGCTGCTAAAAATGACTGTTTTTGTGGATCTCCAAGAGCAGGACTTCAATCTCCGAACTCGTAAAGTTCTTCTTTTTTACTTTGCGATGTCATTCGTGAATGGACACGTCCTGGTATGTGGGGCAGGAAACGTATATCCTTATATGGTGTTTTTGGGGTGGTAATTATGTAAATAACCTCTCCTCGTGCACGAGCAGCTGGATACGAACAGGTGTAATTCATCATGTTTACGCAGCTCATTTACACACTTTTCCTGAAGACAGAAGAGTTTGTTGAATCTGACGTGGCATGTTCGTACGAACCCATCGTATAAAAGTAAGAGAAATTTAGGATAAGAATACAAACATGTTCTGGCATGCGGCCCATTGTTCTTAAACTGTTAGACTATTTATTTTACACTGTGTTCACAGTCGTTGATTGTGAACACATGAGCCTTTCAGTGATGCTCCCGACACTCACCTCTTACCAATAGCCTCAAAGCCATGGACTTCCATTCTAGTACTTCTGTAGTTTTTGGCCATGGACAGCACTTCCGGTTTGCAGGCAACACTGTGGCTGTTTTCACTCGGTGGCTGCTGTCCACAGTACAGGATTTGCATATTGCATGTACCAATATTAACACAGGAGACGTACAAGTTGACAAGAGTCCAGCCAAGGGGAAAAATTACTCTAAAGAAAAATTAAACCCATAAAAATCAATCAAAGGTAAGATGTCCATCATTTAGCCTTTTTCACTATTTCTTGGCTGCTTGTTCTGTGGATTTTTCATGTAGAGCAGTGACACGTATATTGTTGGAAAGAGCATTGTCTGGACATTAAATTGATGGGCTACTTGTTTGGTTTGTATCATTTTGCCCTGATATTGGTGCACTGAAAACAGGGAATGATATTCAGGCAGAGGTTTGGCTGCTCTTGGTACAGAAGCGGAGGGGCGCTTGGGTTGTGTCTACACTGTAATAAACACTCTAACAAGTTTTTGCTTTTGCATAAAACTCGTGAAAAAGTTGCCTAAAATTATTTCATACTCTGTATAACACAAATACACACACATGCACACCTACCTTTTGAAGAATCTAATGTTCTTGCCGGAAGCAGTGAAATGGTGAATGTTGCCTCAGTGTCAGGCTCTCAAACTGTTCCTGTAGCTGGCGGGTTTCCTCCCGGATAATAACATTTACCTCCAGCACTAAATCCGCAACTTCAGAGTCTGGAGTAGCGGCATAATCTTGATCCGAACATTTAGTCTATATGCTGGCTGTTGTGTTAGCTTCCTCCTCGCTTTCCTCTAGAGGTGGTCTTTGCTCTCTCGGATCTTGGCAGTGAAGGGGGTAATTGTACAGCACCCTTCTTTAATCTCCATCTTCTTATTTCTGATGCTGGCTCTTGAATATCCTCAGGTTTGAAATGTTGACTACAAATGCGAGTGTGAGCTTTTATAGCTAAGTTTTCCCTGCATATAGCCACGATCCATTGTTTTTTGCCTTAACTCCTCATCAAGAGGAATATGGACAAAATCTAACAACTCTCTTGTACCTACTGGTTAGTGGACACAATGGCACACAACACAACTCACTTTTTATACCTGTAACTCGCAGATGCTTAACTTTTGTGACTTTTTCATGGTCTAGTTTTTGGAGCTAATGCTAAAAACAATGCGCAGTAGGCAGGACCCAGAAGTGATGCTCGTGGCCTGAATTTTAACAGAAGTACATCACTGACAGCTGTGGCATATAGTCTATTAACCTATTAACCTGTGTAATGTTCCAAACAGGTGTTTTGAGCATAGGAACATGTTGTAGGCATCAAATTCAACCATAAATCTTATCTGTTTGAACATTAAATATGTTGTCTTTGTAGTGTATTCAGTTAAATATAGGTTAAAAAGGATTTACAAATCATCATATTCTGTTCTTATTTATGTTTTACACAATGTCCCAAGTTCATTGGAATTGGGATTGTACTTCAGAGCTGAAGGCTTGATTTTTTAGTTCTCGGCAAAATGAAGAGTTCTTAGGCAATATATATATATATA